TTCCAAGTTGTGTTGTTACATGTGAAGTATTCTCATCATAGGACTTAACTACACCTATGACATTAATCCTTTCATKAACAGCTTGATTTAAATTACTTATTTGGCAAAACTGAGTCTGTGGTGTGGAAATGTCATCATCACAAAGTGCGATCTTAACACCAGCAGAAAGTACCAACTCAATTGGTAAGGCCCCTTGGTATTGATATTGTGATCTTATTTTGCGAATCGAGATGTCTGACATGATATAAGTGTTGTCAGTGTTCAGTTTTTTGTTAAAAAAGGATGCTAAATTGTTCCAAGCTATGCATCTGGCAAGTGATTTWCCATCYGACAMYAACAGTTCCAAAATTGTTCCTGTAGATAYATTTTTCAGTGTTTTTGAGGTGATTTTGACTTTAATGTTGGCTGATGGCATTTTTTCAGGTTCTATTGCAGATAAYTCTGTKTAAAAATGAACATGGAATATAAGTGCTTAGTATTTAATCATTGTGATTGACATGTGTAACTTATGAGGGCAAGTTTATTCTAAAACATAACCAGCMRTTTGATTTAAAGAAAAATACTTGACAGCGAAGACATTTTTTCTGTTGGATTAGGTCTTAAGAACAAACTATTTATATTTTTTTGATTTATTAATTTTTTTTTTGTTTCTGAAATTTGAGTTCACTGTATAAGTGATTTATTCCTTTATTACCTGTTACATTATTAGCTTCATCATTTTCTGTTTGAGATGCACYGAGTAAATCTTGTCCTATAACAAATTTAAAAGACAATTTGATTAATTTATCTATAAGGTTATGTTGTCATAATTTGTAATAAAAAAAAGGAACCAGAGTATATTTGTATGATTTTTTAGCAATTTTAATTATCAAATGCTTGGTGCTTGGTGAAAGAAGCATGCATTTGTTACAAAGAATAATAAATATTGTATTTTTTAGCAATTTTTACATTAAGAAAGCTGTCTTACCTGATGTCTTATTTGTTGCGCTATTTAACTTGTTTTTTCCTTTTTTGGTAGGTACTTGAAGATAAGTATTGAAGAGCAATATTGTTTAATGTAACAGTGATTTACATAAATATAATTTAGCTAATGTTTCTTGTAGATA